AATAATAATTATGTGATTTTAAATTTTGTGAAATAGTATACCAATTAGTGTATACTAAGAAATCCAGGTATATATATATATATATATATATATATATATATATATATATTTAGGTAATTATTRCTTACTAAATCATTGTTACCTACAATGAGAGAGAGAGAGAGAGAGAGAGAGAGAGAGAGAGAGAGAGAGAGAGAGAGAGAGAGAGCTATATGTAAAATTGTTAACTTCAAGGACAGTTGTTTTTATTTTTATTTTGTACTGTAAATTAAGAAAGAAAAAGTTTTTAAAAGTTAGTTTTCCTCAAGTATTATATATATATATATATATAGTATATTAATATACAGGTATATGTACAGTACATATACTAAATAAGTGAAAGCAAAGATAATATAATAATATTTATAGATTTATATATATATATATTATATTATATATGAGTTGTCTTTAAGAAAGAGAGAGGGATTGGAGTGAATCTGTAGGCAATTTGAACCACAAGAGTGACTGAAAGAGAGAGAGAGAGAGAGAGAGAGAGAGAGAGAGCAAACCGGTTATCCGATTGCCATAAAAAAACAATTGCTATTTAGTTATATTAAGACCTTTTTTTTAAGTAGACTTATATAAACTATAAACTTTCACTATTAGTATGATTTGACGGTACAGTACTGTATGTGTGTGTCTATATGTCTATGTGTCTCAAAAAAAAATTATGTGTTTATGTTTATCTAACTTTTAATTTTATTATTTAGTATTATTATTTAGTAGTAGTATTATTATTATTATCTTTATTATTGGTGATCATCATCATCATAATCATCAAATGTTATCATCATTACTACAACTACTACAACAACAACTACTTTATCATATTGTCTATGGATTAGTGTATTAGATATTTATCGTGTTTATTATTATTATTATTATTATTGTGTATTTGATTTTTGTTTTGTTGGATGAAATTGCAAACAATATGATAATCAATACCAAAACCAACTGCTAAATCAATTGTATGGTTATAAGACAACTATAATAATAATAATATCAAACAATAAAATCACGTTTTTGTTATAAAAAAACACAAATAGAGAGAGAGAGAGAGAGAGAGGGGGATAGAAAAAGAGAGACACAAATGTTTCATAACATATAATAACAATAATAATAATAAAATCATTTTATTTAAATATACGGTAAGATTTTAATCGTTTTATAAAAATTTTATTTTTACTTTTTATTTAATAATCTCTCTCTCTCTCTCTCTCTCTTATTAATAATAATAATGTTAATAATCTATGACCGCCTTTTGATTTTTGTTTATATATTAATATAATATTTATATATACATTATATGAATCATAAGTTTTAATTACTGATTAGATGGTTATGCAATTGAAAAAGTTTTTATTTTTTATTTATATAGTAATAATTTTTAATTATTATTCAAGTTTTTGTTAATCATCAAAATAAAAGTGATTTTTTTAATTCAGTTATTTATGTTTTCAATGTATAGTAATTTTTAATACAATTTTTTTTATAAGTAGTAACTTTTGAAAATCAAAATTTCTCAATTAATTATTAAATGCGAAAATTATTATTATTATTATTATTAATAATTATGATAATAATCATAATTTCTTTTTTAATTTGATTAACTTTTTCACAGTTTTATTATTATTACTATCAGTATTATTATTTGATTACGATTATCACAATATTTAATATATAATTTAATTTATTAAAAAAATAGTATTTAATAACTCATTTAAAGGTGTGCCAATTATTATTATTATTTTTAATATTATTTTTATTATTGATAAATATTGTATTCAATTGTTTTTTATTGGTTTATTTGGACACAAAATTTGTGTCGATTGAAGCATTAAATATGTTTTAAATGATATATATTTTTATATTATACAATAGTTTATATTTATATTAATATCTTAATAAATATATACATATTTATTAAAATATTTATATATAATATATAAAAATCCGGAAATTTTGTCACATTTTTTTACTACAATATAGTGTTTGACATTTGTTTGCTCTCTCTCTCTCTCTCTCTCTCTCTCTCTCTCTCTCTCTCTCTCTACTTTAGTTTTACTATATATTATACATATAGACTAATTAGATAAACTTATTATACAAAATATATATAACTTATATCTAATATATATTTATTATTATTTTTTTAAATATCATGTTTTATAACTTATTATCTATTACTGTACTGTATATATATATAAAAAAAATTTTGCCGTATGTTTGCATTAAATATGTGTTAAATAATATTAACAACAATTGTGTCACTATTTCACTCTCTCTTTTTTAGAAAAATAATAATAATTAGAGTTTTGTTTGTTTGTTGTCTTAAATACTATATATATATATATTACTATAATATTTGATTTGATCTCAAATACCATTTGAAAATTACATTTGTTGTAAAAACAAAATAATAATAATATTTAAGTGTTATATAACACTATTTTTTATGTATTGGTTTCACATTTAAAAAATTAGTGTTTTTTCGCGACTTTATGTGCGATATAAACATTAGTTTATTTATTTAATTTATTTTGTTTTATGTGTTTCATGTGTGCGACAATTAAATGCATAAAAAATAATAATACTTTTTAAGTATTTTTTTAAAAAAACAGGTCATATATTATCATTATTATTAAAATACTAATAATTATTATTATTAAATATTTTCAGTTTTTTTTTAAAGTTTTCTATATTCAATATTTTCAATAGATATTTATTATGGAAATTAAAAATAAATTCAAAAAAATTCAAATATTGTCACCAGCTATTTTAAACTATTAATTAAATAATTATTATATTTTTAAATAATAATATAAATAGTTTAAACTTTTTTTTAAATAATTTATTTATTTATATTTATATAAATATAGCTTATATTATATAATATTTTTTAAAAAGTATTTTTATTTGAAAAAAATTATATTTTAATATATCATTTATTTCACACGTGATATATTTGTATATATATATATATATATATATATATACATTATATTTGCACTGAAAACTTGTACACACTTTCAATCAACAAAAAAACACACACAAAAAACAACAACAAAAAAAGCTTATCTTTTATTTTTATCTTTTAGTTTTATTTAGTTTTTTTTGAAAATTGAAAGTGATTTTTTTAGCAACTATAATATGCGGTGAATATTTATATATATATAAAAGTTTATAAAAACTTGATTTTTTATATTTTTATTTTCTCTGTCAATGCATAGATTTTTTTTAAAAAAATTTATAACTTATACAGTATTTTGTTTTTTTTTAAAAAAATAGTATTACATGTGCATTGAATTTATAATAATAATAATAATAAATTATATGATTGAATAAGTGAATGTCTTATGATATGATTGTATGTATTGATGATACCATTACATACCTGTGCCCCACACCTAATAAATATATATATACAGTACAGTACTGTTTGAATAGTTTTTAAATAAAATTAGAAAATTTTTATTTGTCATCGTTTAATAATTATTAGTTTTTTTATTTTATTAGTTTATTGGTTCAGTTTTGTATTAAATGTATATTTAATTTTTATATAACTTTTTTAATATATATATATTTCTAATATTATTGAATGAATTGTTCAATTTTTGTTGTTGAAACAAAAATACAGTAAAAGTTTTTATGTATACTGTTTGCCTACTAATGTATTTATTATGTAATCTTATATATATATTGGTATAAATACCAGTATTTGAAAAATTAGACACACTTTTAATTATTTTTTTATTAATGTCTAAACTTTGAAAAGCAATTAATAATAATTTTTTTGAATGTTATTAATGTTGTTGAAAAAATACATTCAATTTTTGAAAAAATATTTTTCAGTAATTTTATTAATTAAAACATAAAAATGCTTTCATCAATTAATTAGTAAATTATTATATGTGATAAATGTTTTTTTATATTATATATTATAATAAAATATATAAAATGATTTAAAAATGCTTTTTATTTGATATTTTTCTAATCTATCAAATAATAATAATAATAATAATAATAACCCATTGATTCTATGACTATATTTGTATGTATTWAAAAAATAAYTGAAAAAAAATTTTAATTGAAATTTTTTTTTGAATCAACAAAAATTAATAAACAAACAAAAAAATTCTTGAAAAGTTTTTATTAACAATATTTCTCTCTCTCTCTCTCTCTCTCTCTCTCTCTCTCTCTCTCTCTCTCTCTCTCTCTCTCTCTCTCTATTCAATACTATTTGTTTGTTTTATTTAGTGAAATATAATAAAAATGTTTCTATAATTGATATTAAATACAACAACAAAAAGTCTTCATTTATTTTTATTATTAAAAACTAATAAAACATTTATTAATTTATTTTCATATACTAGAAGTCATTACATGTTTTTTWWAGATTTTATTAAACTCAAGGCCTGTAAGTTAGGTCTCTCACTCTCTCTCTCTCTCTCTCTCTCTCTCTCTCTCTCTCTCTCTCTCTCTCTCTCTCTCTCTTTCGCTCTCTCTTTCTTTCTCTCTCTCATTATTGATATGACATCTCTTTGTTTAAACAGATCCACTAAACGAAAGCGTTAATTGAAAGTCAAGATACATCCAGAGAGWGARAGAGGGAGAGTGCCATTCAAGGACAGTCATCACATACATACACACATAGACATACACACACACACATCATCACACCTTTAAGAGAGCACATCCCTATCACACATACATAAGCTAAACACACCACACATTTACCATCTTTTTTGGTGTCAATTCTTTGTGTTGTTTTTTTTGTGAAGAATTTAGAAGAAGAAGAATAAGTTGTTTGACATCTAATTTATTTATTATTATTATTATTGACCATCAAATTGCTTAGTGATAATCACACCATCATCATCGTCATCATCACCAGTGAATCTATCATCGTACTCATCATTCATACCATAAAATATTAATATATATATATATATACCGGTATATATAACCTAATATACAGTGCAAGCACCGGGATGTTAGGGACAACCGTTTTAATCAACAATTTATCGACAATTCTGTTAACATTATTAGTATTAGTCTTATTTTGCCACAATGTGAAAGGTATGTGACATTGAATTTACTTTTTATTTATTTATTTATTATTATTTATGGACTTATAATAAGCAATATTAGGTCAAAGTTTTTTTTAAAGTGTTTCGCCTTTTTTATGATTATTTTTTTATGATTATTGATATTTTTATTACTACTATACATCTGTATATTTACTATTATTATTATCACTACTACTACTACTATTGATTGTTTCATTCAATTATTTATTTATTTATTTAATAGTGATTTCAAACTATCAATTTTTTTATAAATTTTTTTTTTTTGAAAAGTTATCAGTTGTTACCTTAAACTGAAACCTGTCAAACAAATTAAAAAAAATACCTCAGTTGTCACACACACACACACACACACACACACACACACACACACACACACACACACACACACACACACACACACACACACACACACACACACACACACACACACACACACACACACACACACACACACACACACACACACACACACACACACACTATTACCTACTGTTTTATAAATACAATTTAAAAAAATTAAATAAATCAGTAAATAATTTCAAAAACTAATTATACGCTTATTTCTATTGCTGTCAATACTATACATGTGTTTTGTGAACAACAAAATTAATACCGATATCCATAAAAAATAATAATAATTGTTTAAATCATTTTTTATGCTCCAAATACTTCATCGATATATATATTTACTTAAATAAACTTTTTCTTTTATAGATAGATATAAATATTATAAACTTTCTCTTTTTAAAAAATTATATATTTTTTTTGGTCCACAAAATAAAATCTATCGTCAAATATATTGGTTTTTTTGTTAATACAATACAAGTTATGATATCAATATTTTTAATCATTATTTAAAACCCTTGATTGCATGTCATAAATACATTGGTTTATTTAAAATAATAAAATAAATTGAATTACAATTAAATGTTATGTAATACTCTAATAATTCAATAGTTCAATGCTAACTATCATTAATCTTTTTTTAATATAAATAATTGATAAAAATTTGTGATAACATAATTAAAATAGCATTATTATTATTATTGACAATTTTTAAAAGTTTTAAAAAGTTGCTTGGTAGCATTTTGCAAATAATATTTTTTTAAAATTATAATTATAAATTAACATAATTAAGTACTAAATAAGTTAAGTTTATTTTTTTGTTATTTACAAACTTTATATTTAGCAACAAATTTTTTTATATACCGATTACATGTTCATTGATTTTTCTATCAATTAAAGTGATTGAAAATATTATTATTATTACCTGTATATCTATATGTGTAATTTAATAACATAATTAGCCATTAATTATCTATAATAATAATAATAATAATTTTTTATGTAATAATTTTTTTATGTTACATGGTACATTAAAAAAATATTTTTATTTATTTGTAGTAATTGTAGTATTTATTACAGATATATTTATATTTCAATAATAGTTAATAAATGTTTTTTAAAATGTAATTTTTTGAAAATTTTTAGTATTATTAGTATTATTATGACAATTGACTCATAACTACATTATATATTATTTATTGAATATTTATAGTTTATTTAAATAATAACTTACATAATAATAATAATAATTTTTATTATTATTAGAAAACAATAAAATCATATAAAAATAATTAATTACACTAATTATACTAAGCGTTATAAATATTTTTATCGATACAATAAAATGCTAATATATTTATATTTTTTAAATTTTTCTTAGAAAAAATTCAGTAAAAATATTGATATAAGAAAAATGTTTACATTTATTAGTATTTTTTATTAAAACAAATAATTTTATAAAAATAATAAAAAAATATATTTATTATCTATTTGTATAGCAATAGARAATTAACAATTTTTTGTGAATTTTTTTTGGTTAAATTTTATTATTATTTTTTTAATTTCACGTTTTATATATCATATAATTAAAACCAACATTTATTTACTTTTTTTTGTTTTGTTTTATTTGCTTAAAAACAATTATAATTTTTGCACTTAACAATAGAGTTAACCCCTATATAACTTTATATACAGTATATATAAATTAAGGGCCCAATTAAACTGTATTTAAATTAATATTTGTTTAATTAAACTATTAATTAGTATATATTAACCTCAATGCTTAACAAATTGATATTTAATATTTTACAAGTATTAATATATAATAATTGACTACAAATACAAATATCATAATACAGTAGTTATGTAATAGTACTGTACAATAGTTATCGATTGAAATAATAATTAGTTCAATAGGTTTTTTAAAAATAATAATAATTAATTTGTATTTAAAATACCTAACAAATAAACTAACAAAAAATAATACTAATAATAATTAAAAATTTAATTTATTTTTATATAAAATTACATGGATATTGGATATTAATTTAGCTAAAAAATAAATAAATAAATATTTTTAACTATAATAATTATATTATTATATCATATACATAGGTATATATATATAGCTATCTATAATAGAAAGTTAATTAAAAAAATTTATATTATATATATATATATAATTACATGGATATTGGATATTAATTTAGGTAAAAATAAATAAATAAATAATTTTAACTATCATAATTATATTAGTATATCATATACAGGTATAGCAATATATATAGCAATATATATATATTATTATATAGCTATCTATAATAGAAAGTTAATTAAAAAAATTGTTTTTTTAAATAATTATTTTTTATTTGTTTTCTCTCTCTCTCTCTCTCTCTCTCTCTCTCTCTCTCTCTCTCTCTCTCTCAAAGGCATACCTAATCTCAATGAGACCTCACAGGAAGCGATACTTGTATTTACCGGCGAAGACGCCTTTATTGACTGTAAAGTCAAAAACCAACAAAATTATACCATTTTATTCAAATTTATGGGCAATGATCCCGATTCACATAAATTTGATTTATTAACCGCCGGTAATATCATAGTCACTAGTGATACCAGATTTTCAATATTACATCAAAAAGGTTTGTATTTTATTTATTTTACTATTTTTTTATAATCAATACTAATATACTGTATGTATATATATATATATATACAGAACATGACGTATGGGTACTGAACATCAAAAATACCCGACTGTCCGATTCGGGTATCTATATGTGCGAAACCAATTCAAAACCCCAGCAAAAGATTGCCCGACTATTGACAGTCATTGACTCGGCAACGGATACAACCGATAAAACACTGTCGGACACTGTATTAGCCGAAATCAATCACAACTATACCGAGTGCTGTATCGATGAGGACGTACCCGAACTGTGTCATCCGTTTTGTCTGATGTCGGCCATCGTCAACAATGATATACCTCAGCGCACTGTCCGCCAGTGTTTGCCACACTTTCCCGGTATTACCCGCTGTCTGAACGGCGGCCGCGATAATCTCCAGTGTTGTCGCCGCCAGAACATACCGGTGCCGTGCGAATCGGTATGCGTCGGTAATTTTACACTGAATACGGTTACCGACCATTTCCAGTGTATGGACTATGCGGCACCAGTACTGGCCTGTATTGCCGAAGGCATTGAAACATTGCCGGCCCAGCCATTGGACGTAATGGTGGAACCGATATCGACTACCGAACTGAAAGTCAAATGGTTTAAGACGGACAACCCGAGAGACGCACCGGCAGATTCCTATCAGATAAATGCTACACAATTGCATACATTTGACGACCTAACCGATACTAATAGTAATAATAATAAAAAACTAAACAATTTGAGTATCAAAGATAACAGCCGTTCCGTAACTAACGGTACGATAATGTCGGTTACGGTCAATGCAACAGTTAGTGAATGGATACTCAAAGATATGAAACCGTTTACTATGTATGAGATCCAGATGAAGGCCATCAATAAATTTGGCTCGAGTTTACCTACAAATTCGATGCGTGTGCTAACACTGGCGCCCGAAACGGATGTCCAAAAGATACCGAAATCGCAGTCAAAAACCGATCCAAAATTGCCGAACATCCGGAAGTGTTGCAAAGATAATGGTGTAGTTTTGGACAGATGTTTGGATACAATGTGCGATCCGGTCCGTACAGAAACGGCCAGTCTATCTGATCTGATGATATGCGCGCCCTGGTATGTGTGTCCTATTTTTTTTGTTGGTTGATGGGATGACCAATGATTGTCGGTAATTAATTTTGTGGCCATTTTTTTATAGGGCAAACGTAACCTTCAAATGTATGTCATTGGAGACAACCGAAGATGGATTTACCGATCATTCCAGTTGTTGTCAACAGAGAGGCGTTTCGCCGGTTTGTATGTCTCTATGCAAAGGAAATGTCAAACGAATTGGTAAATGAATTAAAAGAAATTTTTTCGACAAAAAACAAATTTTTTTAAACCGAAACTTTCGTTTTCCTATAGATTTTCGACATTTCATATGTTTAGAGCATATGTCGGTATGTATTGTGTGTAAACTAAATCACTAATTGTTTAAAAGTTTTGTCACTAAATTGATCCGATATTTTCATTTGTTTTTTTTGGTTGCCTAAGACATACACAAATTGCATACTATCTCATCATAAAGTGTTGGCCAGCGAACCGCAAGATTTCCGGGTATCAAACGTCCATCACAATTGGGCTATTGTCAAGTGGAGACAACCGAAAAAGTTGGCCCATACGGTCACCAAATATTATATACACTGGCGGGAGACGTCCAGCGAATCGCCGAACATCTATCAGGTGGACGTGGCCTCCCGATCGCCACATTTGATCGACAATCTGAAACCCGGCTACCGATACGAGGCATTTGTTTCGGCTGTCAACGACTACGGTTCGAGTGAGGGCTCGGTTCGGGTAATATTCTCGACACCCGGGTATTCGACAGCCGACGAACGAGAGTTAGACGAGTCGCATATGGCCTACAACGAGACGGCCTGTTGTCTGCGGGCATCGTTACCGAAAAAATGTCAGCCACTGTGTTCGTACAAAGTCAAAGTACAGGATGTTTTCAATTTGTCGTCAATATGTGTCGATTCGTTGGCCACACTAGTCAGGTGTGCAACCGGTGGCCGCAATCATGTGCCGTGTTGTCGGCGACGCGATGTCAGTTCGGAGTGTCTGAACGTTTGTGCCGGTCTGGTCGATACGGCACCGTTGGTTACGGCCAACCGGTGTTCACAAGATTTTGGCCGTATTCTCCAGTGTATGGAAGAGGGCACCGGCCTATTGCCGGGAATGCCCATCGGATTGCATGCTAACTATATTACCAAAAACAGTGTACACTTGCAGTGGAAACCGGCATTGGAGGACATGGATGCCAAACATGTTAGCTATCAGGTTCGGTACGGAAAGACAGATAATATGATACCATTGCATCCGTTAGATCATACAAACACCAAGAATGCTACACAAACTAAGGCAATCATCGATGGTCTTCAACCCAATACACACTACAGTGTCTATATTACAGCACATAATCTATACGGTGTTTCGCTACCATCGCTGGTACTGTTGATCAAAACAAGCGATTCCGATGAATCTGATCAGCGACTGGTTGTTCACTCGAAGACAGGACCGCCTCATTCGCTGGAATTGATTCGACAAACTGTCGATACGATTACAATGAAATGGTTACCACCGTTGTATGTACCCATCGATACCACCATCAGCTATATTGTCTACTATAAGGCCATCAACGGTACAGCTTTGACCGGTTCGTCGACGATGATGTCGACCAATCCGGACAAAAACAATTGGTTCAGTTTGTATACACCGTATACGACAATCTATTTGAAAAACTTGACCTACAATACCGAGTACGCACTGGCCGTTCAAGCGGTTACCGATCGTAACGATACGAGTAGTACATCGGAAATTGTATTGGTCTGGACAGATCCGGCCATACCGACGGCCTTGCAAATGCCGCTAATCATACCGGCCGGACCTATTGTCGAGGGAACCAACATAACAGTGATGTGTATAGCAATGGGTACACCCGTACCGAAAACATCGTTGTTTGTGAACGGCATACTTGTCGGGCAACAAAACAGCCGACACATGGCCTATACTCTGGCCAATGTTAACCGTAATTTGACGGTAATATCGTGCTATGCGGTTAACGGCGAAGGAAAGGACGCACATTCGGCCCAAAGCTCTTTAGATGTTTATGTCAGATGTAAGTGAAGTCAAAGTCATAATAATCTCTTTTAAATTAAGTTATTTCCCGAAAAATTTTTATTTCCAGTCAAACCAAGCGCTGTTGTGACCGCACCACAGGTAACCACATCGGCTATCGGTGCGACCACTCGACTGTTTTGTATTGTTTCCGGCAATGTATGTAATCAATTGAAAAATGTTTTTTTTTTGAAATTAATTTAAATATTAATTTCTATCACATTCTGGGTCTTCACCAACGGATAATAGCCTCAGCCCCGAGTCTTTTGGTACAAACAAAACAATACAGATATCGTCCAAATTTATGGCAACAATAACTATAATTTTATAACTGTTCCGCACTCTGAGGTTAGGTCACAGTCAGTCAGTTTAACAGATAATTTTGATTTTCAGATATTTTTTACACAATTTTTATATAAAATAATTTATTTTAAATATTTTTTTCAATTTAGTTTCCGATGACTTATGTATTTACTTTACTGATAAAATCGACACAACCTGCAGATGACGGCAATTATATGTAAATAAATTTTTTTTTTTGATAAAATATAATTTTTAATAATAATTTTCTTGTTGTTGTTGTTGAACACCTCCTCCAAAGGTGTACCACTGAAAATGATTTTGGCAAACTGGTCACCACATTGACACTACAGGTCACTGAACAACGGGTCACACCACGCAACTCGACCAGTAAGTGATTGATTGATTGACTGATTGATCCAATCAATCAAACAATTAATCAATTGATTTGATAATTAGTTAATAATTATTTTTATTAATTATTTCTATCCTTTTATTGCTATATATATATAGGCTGTTGTGTTGAACAGGGAGTCAGTCAACAGTGTCTCGGAGTTTGTTCGCTGGATGTGGACATTGAATCGGCACTTTCACGGCCCGAATGTTTCGGCGAATTAGACAAACTAATGAACTGTGCGGCCGGTATGTGACCTAAAAAAAATCAGAAATTGATGGCCAATTGTTGAACATATAGTAATCTTTTGACTACTTTTTTCTTGTTGTTGTTGACAGACGGTAGTGATCACCGGCAGTGTTGCCGACGACGTCAAGTGCCGAACGGCTGCCTTCGCTGGTGTGCCGGTCTTCGAGTGGGTATACCGTCGCTGTGTGTACTGTCGTCCGCCCGCGAAATCATCTCATGCTTTCAGGAGGGCCGAGCCCTACTACCCGGTCCACCGATTAATATCCAAATCGGACAGTTTATTGGCGACAATACCATACGAATCGAGTGGACACCGCCCGAGAAAAATGCCGAATTGGTTCAATGGTATCGAGTTTTCTGGAGGTATAGTATTCGGGAGTTTCCGTAACACCCACCCACCCAATCCAACCACACATATCTAATTGTATGACTTTTTTTTTAACAGACCGGTCGGTTCCAGGGATCTGATGCGCAACCAAACCGATGGCCTATCGTTTGATTTGACTAATCTGGAAGCGGACAAAATGTATGAATTTGTGGTCAAATCGGGCAATCATTACGGTCTCAGTGTATTTACCGATCCCCTGGTTGTTTCACTGACCCAATCGCCCTTACATTCGACATCATTGGGCAATAAACTACTGAAAGTTATGTTAGGCATAGCTGTCGGTACCGTACTATTGATAATGTCGTTGACGGCTATTATATATTATTATAAATTTTATTATATAACCAACAAATCAAACCCGACGAGAGGCGTATCGTTTGAGAATCCGACTTATCTGAAGGATACCAATACTATACAGTTTAACGATACAACTAGTGGTGGATCAGTACTTAACAACAACAACAACAACGGTAGCGGTAATGGTGTCCATAACGGTGTAGTGGTCGTCGGTAACGGTGCCGCTGCCGATGTTATAGCTGACAGTCAAACCTAAGATGAAGAAAAAAACGGACCGATTGTGTGATTTAATAAAAAAAATTACATAAATATATATATATATATGTATTGATTTAGTTAATTACTAGTTAAGTAATTATTATTATTATTATTATTATTATTATTATTATTATTAATAGGTATACATATATATATAAATAATAAAACTGTTAACTGACTGTGATTTTTATTATAATTATTATTTTAATTATTATTATTATTATATAAATTAATTGTATATTCAAGACATAAAAAAAAGTCCTCCGATTATTAAAATTTTTTGTGTAAATTAATTGTTATTATTATTATTATATCGAAAATCATTTTTATGATAAATTAATTATTTTAGTATTATATTCATATAACTTATATACAAAAAAAAATAATTAAAATACTATAACAAAAAAATAAGTTTTTTTTCAGTAAAAAAAATCTAATTAATTTTATTATTAACTTTATAATTAATGTGTGTGTGTGTGTGTGTGTGTGTAAATAAACATGTACAATTTAGTAATTAATTATTTTTAAATAAATAAATTGAAAAATATATATTAAAATATATGACTTTTTTAAAAATTTACTAATCAATATATATTTCAAAAATCAAAAAAATTTAGATTAAAAATAATTTCTTATAATAATTATTTGGTATAAAAATAATTTTAATATAACAAACAAACAAAAATGTCATTTATATATACAGAATAATAAAAAAAAGTTAGTTTTAATTAGTTTGAAAACATTACTATAATTATAAACAAACAAAAAAAAATTATTATTTAATAAATCATTGATTATTTTGATTCAAAAAAAATTTWAAAAAAAAATTTCTGAATTCATTCATTTTGTGAAATCTTTTGATGAGTTTATTGTTTTTAATTCATTCATTAGTTACCACTCCGTTGGTCACTGTCTTCATCATCGATGACACTGTAAGAGACAGTGTTTATCCATTCATTAGCCACCGATTCTTGTCAACAATTGATTCAAAAATAACTTTGAGATCTGATGATCTTCACGACATCACTTTCATTGACATTAATCACATTAAAAACTCTTTTTAATCCGAAGACACTATTTGTTTAGTTGATGACAAACTATTGGCAAAGTTCTTCAAGTTTGCCACACTTTTCACCCTTTATTGTTGAATGCATCTAATAGTTGGCTATTGTCGACATCATTTTAAGGGGTCAACTAATTCAAACCAATTGATCTAACCATTCATCGGCGGGTTCATTCTCAATGGTCTAAAAAATTAGCTATAATTCAATTCATTCAACTAATTTGTTCCGACAATATCTTTCGGTAACTTATTTGTTTAACCATCAAATCAATGGTTCAAATCTGTTATTCATTAACTTTTCATTATTTAAACTTTTATTTGAAAGATTATTAGTATAATTGGCGATCAAATCGGTGTCCATTGTTTCCGTTTTTTGGATCAGTTGTGTTGTTTTGTGTTGACAAACTGTGTTATCGTCTGACCGACAAATCGGCGACAAAAAAAAACAATTGTCAATCAAATTACAGATCCATTTGTTGTTTTGGGGGTAACATAGACTCCGCTGTCGGTAATCTTTTTTTTTTGTTGGTGACATTCAATAGTCATTTGATTTGTTTGCATCTCATCCCTGAATAGTGTTTCAAATCAACTACTGCTTGAACTACCAATTGGTTGGGAGACAACAATACCGGTGCGAGGCTGATAGAGTGATTTAAGGAATTAAAAATCCCGAATAGTGATGGTAGCTCAGACCGCCCTGAGTCTAACCATACCACCCACATAGCTGTCCGACCTCCGCAATTCGAGATATTCGACTTTAAAGTCGAATTTTTTTTTGACATTATTTATGAATATGATACATATTTTCTATGTATTTTTCAATACTAATTATGAATATGAAAACTAAATCTCACTATGTCAAATAGTTTTCGAGATATTCGACTTTAAAGTCAAAAATATTATTTTACATTATTTATGAATATGAGATATATTATTTATGCATTTTCTAATATTAATTATGAATATGAAAATTAATATACATTAAGTCACAGTTTTCGAGATATTCGACTTAATCAATTTCTTTTGGCGTAACTATAATAATGCTAGTAAATGTAATTATTTCTTAGTTAACATTTATTTTTAAAGTTGTCACTAAAGAAAAGTAAGAGGAGTATTATGTGAAAAAAATCATTTGATTTAAGTCTGTAAGAATTATTCAAAGTTTAGCATAATTTTATTACAATGGCACACACACTTATTAAATCGGTTTCAGGAACATTTATTTAAAGAGATATGGAGGCAATCTATTATCAGAACAATTATACATTCACAACAATATTTTTACGTATTTTTTTATTTTTTTTTAATTTTAAGAATTTTATTAGAGGAACAATTTAAATTGCCGAATATACATTTTTGGAAGAACTAACTTATACCTTCTGGCACCGCTATACGACAAGTGATCCGACAGAATATTTGCGTTCATTTGAGGTAAATGATAGTATATTTAACGAAAATGTCTAAAAAATAATTACACACACTAGTTTTTTATTCTACTTTTACCTTTAAAACACTACTGTATAATCTTAATATTAAGTAATAAATAAAATTAACCTATATTTGTGTATTTTAATAACCTAACCTACCCTACAAACAACTATCATTACATAAGATACAGTACTTAAATTATTTTGTCACAAATATTTATTTTGTTTTTAAAGTCGAATATCTCGAAAACTATTTGACATAATTAGATTTAGATTTCATATTCATGATCAGCATTGAAAAATACATAGAAAGTATTTATCATATTCATAAATAACGTCAAAAAAAATTTCGACTTTAAAGTCGAATTTCTCGAATTGCGGAGGTCGGACAGCTATGTGGGTGGTATGGTTAGACTCAGGGCGGTCTGAACTACCATCACTATTCGGGATTTTTAATTCCTTAGAGCTCTACCAACCCCGGTGCGAAAACCATTACATTCAACAAACATTGATTGATTGATTGATTGTATTGACAACAATGTCATGTATTTAAAGCCGACGGACGGCACGCACTGAGACATTGTTTGACACACAATACTAAACAAACATAACATTATATTTCAATAATAATTATATAAATTATATTTTTTTTAAAAAAATAGTTTAAATTTGTCAGGTCCGAGTGGTTTATACTTAATTTACTTTAATTAAAACACAAGTTTATGTTGAGTTAAAAATCAAACAATTTTTATTTAAAATATATGAAATGAGTGTATAGTTAGTGACATTGAAAGTGTTGTCTCAGCGGCCGATCACTTCAATGTCCAGAGTGAGAGTGCCTGTTGTCGTGTACTGAAAATGTATATATTGTCTATTTTTATGACCCCAACCCCTCAATGTTGACCCTGAACCTAAACTAACCCTTTCCCTATTTATTACCCTTTTAACTAAACATCTGAAAGCTATCCTAACTATTGTTTGTCAAATAAAACTAAAACAACTAACTTTTATTAGTCCTAAAAAATATTTATTAAACTAAAAGTTTTTGGACATATATTCAAGACATGGCAATCGTCACCTCCTCGACAAAAATTAATTTAAAAATTTTAAATTAATTTTCAAATTCAATGATTAAAAATACAAAAATATCAAATAATTGGTTAAATACATATATAAAATAGTTGATTAAAACAATGTAATCATAATAAAATTATATAATGAAAATAATATTTTTTAAAAAATGATAATCAAAATAATATAATAAAAATTAAAAAATAATAATAATCAAAATGTAAAATTATAAAATACTTAAGTAATCAAATACAAAAATCAATAATAATAATAATAAAAATCAAATAATTAAAAGTAATTAGTGTAGTGGTTATCATATTAAAAAAATTATATAAAAAAATATTAATTAATTAAAACATAAATCTATTATTGAAATGATTGTATGCCATGGGATACGTTGTTTGCATTTGTTGTGCGGCTAATTGCCTATCAAATTGTAGTTTGTCTGTTCAATCGGGTTAGGTATGTGTCGGTGGTTTTTGTCGGATCAGTTGTAGGCTTTTCAAGTGAATCCAGTTTATCACGAATTTCTAGTAGTTTTAGATATGATATCTAGTTTGTCATCTTTGGTGATATTGTCATCAAATGATTTGTTTTCTGTATTTCCTATTTTTCGGTTTATATCTCTGTTGATAGCCATTGTTGACCTCAAAATAGAGTCAATTTTGTTGTTTTCCCGATTGTGATATCTATTATATGCAAATCTATTGTGTCTATCCCTATGAGACATAACTTAAAAAAATGTTAATAAATGTATAAAAATAGTAATGGATATTATATAATAATTGATTATTTTTTCATAACTAATGTTGTTTTTTGCTCAGTATTAGATTCATTTTCTTTGATAGTATTTTGTGGCAACAATTGATTGTTGACTTCATTCATTTCAATATCATTGGCATTGGTTTTAGTACACAGTTTTTCACGATTATAAAAAGCAATAAATCCAATAATTAATGAAATCATGCAAATAATTAGTGAATAATTAATGTATTGATAAGATTTGAAAATTATATAATTGTTTTCATTGTTAGTAATATGAGTTAATTCATTGTCAATTTGTTTTAAGTAATTATCGAAAACATTTTCTCTCATTTTAGCGTCCAATAGATGATTGATGTGATACGACCAGGCTGGTATAAAATGTAACTCACTGTGCAAATTAAGTGATCGTGTTTTGTATTCAACATTACCAACAATAAATGATTGATTAGATGGTAAAACAAATACATCTATAGGACATGAAATAGTTTGTTGATATACGGTAATATTGAATCCACTACAATAGATATAATTATACAATAATGCATTTTTAGACATTATCTATCAATAACTCATCAAATACATGACATGGGGAACTGTAGTCAATGACCACATTTACCGTATCTAACCCTTGTATGACAGGATTGCGCATCTGATGCCATATAATAGGCTCTACTGATGCCAGACAATCAGTTAAACCAAATAAAGATATCATACATACGATTGTTGCAGTAAATAACATCAGTCTGTTTGGAGCAAACCTAACACGAGTTGATCGACGCAAACCGTTATCTGTATTGAAATTAGGTGTCGGAGGAGAGGGTGGTTGTGATATGATCTCTATATCCTCATTGCTATCAATAGACTCATCAGATGATACATAAGCATCTGATTCATCACTACTTGTATCACTGCTTTCATAACAAATATCATTATTAGTTGATTTCATATTTAATGAATTGCTATCACTTGATATAATATTAGGAATTGATTTCAAATTATTTTTGTTTTGTACAGTATTTTTATTAAACTTATTTATAAAACCTTTTGGCACAAAATTCAATGACTGTTTGAGATAGTTATCAATCAAATTGTTTCTATTATAGTAGGCCTTGAGTCGGGCCACATGTACGACATTGGACTTAAGAGCTGATCCCTTGAAATCTAATACATATAGTAATGGAGATATTTGTTTGACTATTTTGTAGGGTCCTTCCCATCGCTTAGTCAGTTTGTTTATCGGTCCCGGTTTTATAGCCGGATTGTAAAATAATACCTCCTGTCCCATACTGTATGTCACATCCCTGTGTTTGCTATCATATCGATGTTTGTCTCTTTTATGACTGTCCATCAACAACTGATAACAAAAATAATAGCGAAAATGAGTTGAAATCATTTGAAAACTCTTTGAATACTATTATTTCAATTATATGTAATAATACAACAAACAATGAATTAATATCTAAATCGTTAGTAAATGAACAACAAAATGACAGCCAATTGATTGATATTATCCATATTTTACGCATTAACACTAGAGATAATAATAATAAATATTTTAAATATATTTATGATAATTATCTGATTAAAGACAACATTTTGTATAAATATATTGATAATTCAAAATCAATTGACAAAAATCAATTGACAAATGTGTTGTGTGTGTCCCGGAATCAATGTTACTAAACATTATGGTCGTAACTTTGGTGTCATTTTTGGTCTCATACGGTATTATTTGTTTTAATTGGTTGGTCTCGCATATCTGTTTTGGTACAATTCTGGTAAACAGTAAGACATTTAATATACAGTATACTTTTGCGCAAATTTGAGTCATTTGTGGCAAATATTGAATTGATAAATGAGTGTTAATTTGGTGGTACTATATATGAAGATATATTGCATGTATTTAATTGAATGATTGAATGATTTGAATATTTAAAATAATTAAAAATGTCTGAATCTGGTGCTGATATTTTTGTCTAGTCTTCAACTACCAAATACAGATAGTTGAGGAGTTTTCTCTAGAGTTTAAGTACCAAATGTAAATGTGATGACATTTTTGTCTAATCTTCAACTACCAAATACAGATAGTTGAGGAGTTTTCTCTAGAGTTTAAGTACCAAATGTAAATGTAATGATATTTTTGTCTAGTCTTCAACTACCAAATACAGATAGTTGAGGAGTTTTCTCTAGAGTTTAAGTACCAAATGTAAATGTGATGACATTTTTGTCTAATCTTCAACTACCAAATACAGATAGTTGAGGAGTTTTCTCTAGAGTTTAAGTACCAAATGTAAATGTAATGATATTTTTGTCTAGTCTTCAACTACCAAATACAGATAGTTGAGGAGTTTTCTCTAGAGTTTAAGTACCAAATGTAAATGTGATGACATGATATTTTTTTCTAATTGGCTACCTCTCATTAGAACCTATCTGAGCTCAATAGACATTTAAAGATTCCTATAGAATAACATTGCTTTCAATAAAAAGTGAAAATTTTAATACAAATTTAAAACTTTTGCATTTGAGAAAATTTTATAAAATTTTAGCACATCTATCTAACCTACCGGTGCCATGTGACTTATATAATATAGCAAAATGTAATTCCACAATACCTGYCTACCTGTCCTCAAAATCTACCTGACCTCAATAATCATTTAAAATTTCCCATAGAAATAACATTATTTTAAATTAAAATTGTAAATATAACAATAAATTTTTAGATTTTAATTAAAATTTGGTTTTTGATGAAAAGTTTCATACAAACATAAATACATAAATCCGGACATTATTATCTTAAAGTGTTATCTTTATAAAGTACAGTATTTATCAATAATTGACTAGTCCTAGCCTTTGACTGTAGAATTATGCACTGAATATATGGCTTTGATTTGAAATATATTCTAATGAAATCACATGTTTTTTTTACTATATATACAGTATATACTGTTTATAATGTATTGTATTTTAATTTCATTATAACATTTACATTGAATTAATAATAATAAACAATAAATTCATTGATTGATTGATTTAAACGTACGATAAATAAGACAGACATTCAATGACCACAACAACAGCTATTATCATGTCTTAAGACTTTTACCGGACAACTAAATCTCTTCTACTGAATTATCAACTATTTTGTTGTTTATATATTTTTGGTGATCAATTGGTCATAACATTACAGACACAAACACACAGAGGAAGTAATGTCTTCACGGATACCATTGTCAACAAAACWGTTGTCGCCGTCATCTTCGGTACCGATGCCCGCAATGACTACAGCGGACACCGACACCATAGCCACCGCCGCCGCCGCTACTGCAACCACTACCGGTCTGTCAAACAAACAGTTGGCACTGCTATTGGTGGCCGCACCGGTAGTTGTGGGCGCCGGCGCCTACTTGTATTATAGCTATTATCATAACAACAACAACAAGAAGGGATCACCAGATGGTAAATCTGGTGACAAGAAAAACAAAAATACGACGACGAAGATTAAGACGAAGGATGCGATGGACGGCATTAGTAGCGAAATGGTCAGTATATTGTCGGCATATAATACTTTCTCTGTCTCTCTCTCTCTCTCTCTCTCTCTCTCTCTCTCTCTCTCTCTCTCTCAGTCTCTCTGTCTGTCTGTCTCTCTCTGTCTGTCTCTCTCTCTGTCTGTCTCTCTCTCTCTCTCTCTCTCTCTGTTTCTCTGGCGTTGTTGGAATCACTCATGTCTTTTGACACACAAATGTTTGTTTTGTTTTTGTTGTTGTTAGGATCCGTTAACAGCAGCCTTGAAATACAAGTCAAACGGCAACGATATGTTTAGGGATCATCGATACCAGGAGGCCATCGATTGCTATACCCGTGCCATTGATTCGTGTCCTGCGGATCGTCGGGACGAACTGTCGACTTTCTATCAGAACAGAGCCGCCAGTTATGAAATGTTAAAGTCGTATCAGTTGGTGGTCGACGACTGCGACAAAGCGCTGGCTTTGAACAACCGTTATGTCAAAGCAATGATCCGACGGGCAAAAGGTTTGTCTTTTAATTTTTTTTAGTTTAATATTCAATAACCAATCGATTTGATTGACTGATGAGTTGTTTGTCATCTTTTTTTTTTATTAGCCAAAGAAGCGTTGGGCGACTTAAGTGGGGCACTGTTCGACATAACGGCTGTCTGTATTCTGGAACAGTTTCAAAATCAACCGAACCTAATGATGACCGATCGGTTACTACGGGAACAAAGCAAAATCAAAGCCAAAACCTTGTTCAAGACCCGTACGCCACGGCTGCCATCCAATCATTTTATTGTCCACTATTTTATGTCCTATTCTAACGAACCCATACTGAAGAATTGCGGCCCAACAGAAGTGGTCCAATACTTGGAAACACTTCGCGAAAAACAAACGGAATCCGATCACTATCTTCACGAGTTTCTTCTGCTCGATGGTAACGATGATTACTATTTACTGTTGTTATTATAATTATTTAATACAAGACTTGAATAACAATTTGTTTTATTGTTTCTAATATCATATGGATAGCAACTCTTGAGATACTGAAGGGTAACATTGAAAATGGAGAGAAACTATTGGATAGATTGATTGGATTCGCTAACTGTATGAAAGATATCAAAGTGAATGCATTAATCAAATTGGGAACAATCCGTGTCCAAGACATTGGACGCGAAGATAGCTTTAAGGATGCGCTCGACTGTTTCGACAGAGCCGTTCAATTGGATGATAAAAATCCTGATATTTACTTACATAGAGCACAGGTATTGTTGGGGAACAACTACTTTGTTGTTGTGGTTGTTATTGACACTTATTATCTCTAATCTTAGATTTATTTACTCTCTGAACGAGTGGACGACGCCTACAAAGATTTGGAAAAGTGTTGCAAATTGAACGATAAGTTTGCTTCGGCTTTTGCACAAAAACTTTATGTCCAATACAGATGCGGTGTCCGCTATAATGACGAAACGACTATCTGTAAGGCATTRCAAGGTTTYGAATTGGCTATSGATCAGTTCAGCAGTTCCAGTGAAGTCTATTCACTGTATGCACAGGTAGTTTAGAKAGGATTGCTTTTTGTTGTTGTTGTTATACTGAAATGTGATATTATCGGTGAAATTAACCACTACTTTCACTCCCCATCTGTAAAGGCTTTGATGGAAAGAGGAGACTATAGTAAAGCTGATGAATATTTTCAGAAAGCCATCGACAAGGATCCAGACGATGGCAATCTATACGTACACAGAGGTATACTCTATCTRCAGTCGACTAACGAAACAGATAAGGCAATAAAACTGTTGGAAAAGGCAATGAAAGCTGATCCCAGTTGTCAGTTTGCCTACGAAATGATGGGTACCATTCAGGTCCAGAAGGGACTGTTGGCCAATGGTATCAAATCGTTTGAYAAGGCCTTGGAGTTGGCACAGACAGAGCTGGATTGCGCTCATCTATATTCGCTTAGGGATGCGGCCGAAGCCCAGGAAAAGGCTACCAAATTGTTGGGCATTGAACTACCGGTTCCCAGTCTTTGAACGAGTGTTTGAATACTTYAGTACTATTATTGTCAATATATATATATATATATATAAAAAAGTTATGTTTATTGACTCCCAATTAGGATATTAATTATCTATATATCTATTATTATTATAATATGATAATCAATAACTACTATTTGACACATTATATTGAAACAAAAATATAGTATTTTTATTATTGATATTATTTTTTTTATAATATACCCTAAWCTTTATAATTACCGGGTGATTACCGGGTAATTGAATTATAACAGTCATTTTTTTTAATTATTAATTAAGTAATTTAGTAATTCATTCATTTATTATTATTAWTAATATATAATTATATAAATTAATTATATATATAATTTAGTTGTGTTTTTTTGTTGTTGTTGTAAAAATAGATAGWTTTTTACAAATTATTATTATTATTAMTTATTATTTAGTATACTATCAAATGTATTGAAAAATTAATTTAAAAAAAAAACAAACAAAACAATGAAACAATAATTTTTTATCAAATAAATAATTATGTTTATGTTTCGATACATTTTTTTATTAAAAAAAACTATTTAGTTAAAAGTATTTTATACTATGGCTTAAATTTAATAATCAATGTTTAATAATAATTATAATAAATACAATTAAAATAAATCTTAAAAAAGCTTAAATCCAAAGTTGCTATAGTTGTTTAAGTGTGGAAATAAGTTATTTTATTATTAATATTATAAATAATTTTATTTTTTAACAACTAATATATTGTAATTTAATATATATATATATATATATTTAAATTTATATTGATATATAATATATATATATATATATGTGATCTCAACCTATTAAGGAATGAAATTATTTATATAAAAAATACAATCAAAACTAAGTCCAACCTAAATGGACATCAATAATGTTGAAAAAATAAAAATAATTAGTATAATAAAAGTTTATTATTAATATTAATAATATTAATAATATTAATAATAATAATTAAGGCTGCACTTTGATATTTGGGCCGCGCCGGAGGCGGATGTGGGTGGTATAGGTAGATAGTACTTGATGTCTAGTATACATATGTAAAATATAGGACATCGCAAACTAAAGGTTAAAAAGTTATGAACTTATAAAATTAAAAAAAATATTTTTTTTTGCAAGTCTTATTTTTTTTAAAACCTAACCTAACAACCTAACCTAACCTAACCTAACCTAACCTAACCTAACCTAACCTAACCTAACCTAACCTAACCTAACCTAACCTAACCTAACCTAACCTAACCTAACCTAACCTAACCTAACCTAACCTAACCTAACCTAACCTAACCTAACCTAACCTAACCTAACCTAACCTAACCTAACCTAACCTAACCTAACCTAACCTAACCTAACCTAACCTAACCTAACCTAACCTAACCTAACCTAACCTAACGATATCTTCCTAAACCATGGTCTGCTTCATAAGTCATCGGTCTTTTACAGTTAGGACATTTTCTATTAATTGGTGGGAGGAGATCTTTTTCTCTAAGCCAATTTAGGCAGGTATCTCTGTCTTTCAAATGAGTTGAAGCTAATATATAGATATTCATGATCTGTAAGTATAGAAACATACATTAGATAATTGAAACTAAACACTAAATTATTTTTAGTAAAGCCCCAGTAGGGATTCGAACCTACGACCTACGTATAAGTCAACTACTCTAACCACTAGCCTACTGAGGCTCTACAAAGAAAATATACTAAATTACTGCTATTTATATTTACTATATATTAAAATTTTTAATTAAAATGTTCATAACTCCTTAACCTTTTGTTTGCGATATCCTATATTTTATATATGTATAGTAGACCTCAAGCACTACCTACCTATAGCCCCAATGTGGGACCCGATGTGGAAAGCAATTTTTCTGTTAAATAAAAATTGTTTTCACTGTGTTTCCCGTCCCTGCCCAACCAACGCTGCTTAGGACGGCCAACTTAGGTAGTATGGGGAAAGCGGGGTGCTACGTGAGGACGAGTTTCTGCCCGACCCGGGTATCGGTACTTCGGTATCGGTGCCCACCTGGGGGTACCCGCAAGGGTGCTCCCACCCGGGGGTGCCTGTAAAAAGGTGCCCCCACCCCGAAGGGGCGTCCGTAAGGATGTCCCTTCACCCTTCGAGTAGTTACTCGTCCTCACACGCAATGGCCACTTTTGTTTCAAAAAATAAAAATCCTATTTCAACAAACACATGTTAGTGGTGAGAAATGGGTGGCAATAGACACATGTTAGTGTTGAGCTTATTCTAGGGACTGGGACCCCGTAAAAAGGCCAAAACCAAATATATATATAATTATGATTACACGTAGTCGAAGGAATAACGGGGGGTGTTCGGGAGGTACCCTCTCAAATAAATCCCGCGTTCAGCAGGTAGGCATTGACTGCAGTTCGATAAGTATGCATCATATCCCACGCAGTGATGTGCTATGCGGGCAAAGCTGTGATGTAATGCGACCGCAGACCAGTCAACAAAATCAGACTAACCGCCAAAATGTTTCAGTTCAAGCTGGTTCTCAGCGACAACTGACAAATTTGGTTGAAAAATCGCAAAAGCGCATGAAATGGACACATGAGATGAATACCTTGATAATGCGCGAATACTACAGATCAACTCGACTCGAAACAAATATGACTGATTACAGAAACCAAATATACTTAGCATTCAAACAGAAATATCCAGAACTAAATGTAACGGAACAAAGAATTGCAGACCAACGGCGATTCTTAGCAAAGAATAATAAAATATCCCCAATAGAATTACAAGAAATCAAACAACAAGTGGCACGTGAACTATCCTTAAATGAAACAACTGAATTAAATACCACAGTAGAAGTAGTGCCAGAAATAGAAGAAACACCTACAACAACAGATAACAGAATCGATACAAATGATGAAATAAAGAGAATAACAGCAGAAAATGAACTAAAAACATCTTTAGAACAATATAAAGACTTTGAAATAGAATTCAGACCTAAGCTACCAAAAATAAGAAGTGGCGTTAAAACAAGGTCTACAATAATAACAATTAATGATATACTTAAAAATTACATTGAAGATAATATGTCGTTGAGCGCGATTAATACAATAACGTATTGTGCAGCAGTAGCAGTATCGAGACTATTAGGTTACAAAATAGAACGCATGTCAACAACAAAACAAAATCATGAAAATATGATACCTAAATAACAAAAGCGAATAGAGACACGTATAGAAGGGAAAAGACAAGTAATTGGAAGAATAACGCAAGTGTTAAATGGAAACAAATCAAAAAGACTTAACCAATCATTGAAAGATATATACCGATTATTACAGACAAAACCTGGAAAACCTGAATTTGAATCAATAATCCGAAATTACAACGACACATTAAAACAAACAGTTCAAGCACTATCACAAAGAATCAGAAGATATAAACAACAAAGCGAAAGACGAAAACAAAATACAATGTTCTATAATAACGAAAAAATGTTCTATAGAAATCAAAATAAAATAAATTCAAGCAATATTAACAATACACCACAAATAGATGAAATAGAAAACTACTGGAAAGAAATCTGGAGTAACCCAAAAGAATATAAAGAATCTAATTGGATAAATGATATTGAAGATGAAAATAAAGAAATACCACATATGACTTCAATAAATATAATAAAAGATGACTTAACCGAAGCCATCAAGAAATCCCACAATTGGAAAAGCCCAGGACTAGACAAAATACAAAACTTCTGGTACAAACACTTTACAACAATACATGAACCAATGGCAATAGCAATGGATAAAATAATACAAACAGGACAAACCGATGACTTCCTCACTTCCGGAATAACATATCTACTCCCAAAAACAGAAAATACATCAGATCCCAGCAAATATAGACCAATCACTTGCCTAACAACAATGTATAAAATCCTAACATCCATAATATCAACAAAAATATATAATCATTTAAGCAACAACAACATAATAGCTGAAGAACAAAAAGGCTGTATAAAACACTCAATGGGCTGTAAAGAGCAATTAACAATAGTCAATATCATAACAATAAGAGCTCGTCAAAAACATAGAAATCTTGAAATGGCATACATAGACTATAAGAAAGCATTCGATTCAGTCCCACATAAATGGTTATTAAGAGTGTTAAAACTATATAAAATTGACAACACACTGATAAACACATTAGAAAATATGATAAAAAAATGGAAAACTAAATTGTGTGTCAATATAAATAATGGAACAAAAATAAGTACAGAAATTAAAATAAACAGAGGAATATTTCAAGGCGACTCGCTCAGTCCTCTGTGGTTCTGCTTAGCCTTAAATCCACTGTCATCATTACTCAAAAAGTTAAAAGGCGTAAATATAAAGTCAAATGATACAAAATATAATCTAACACATCTACTATATATGGACGATTTAAAACTATACGCCGAAAAAGAATCTGATTTAAATGCAATGATAAAAACAACAGAAACTTTCTCCAATGACATAAATATGGAATTTGGATTAGATAAATGTGCTATAATGAAATTGAAAAGAGGTGTCTACTCAGAAAGACCTGAGTACGAAACTGATAATGGATATATAAAGGCACTAGAAAATGGAGATATATACAAATATTTAGGTATTAAACAAATGCATAAATCTAAAATGACAGCAGTTAAAGAAGAAATAAAGAAAACATTAAATCAAAGAATCATTAAAATACTAAAATCTCAACTAAACTCAAACAACAAATTCAAAGCCATAAACACTTGGGCAATACCTGTACTGACATACTCGTTCGGAATAATAAAATGGAGTAAAACAGAACTCGAGACCATCGAAAGACATATAAGGCGACAACTTACAATGTTTGGAGTACACCACCCTAGAAGTTCTGTAGCACGACTATGTGTTAGTAGAAAACATGGGGGTAGAGGGTTACTAAACATTGTAAGCCTTGAGGCCAAACAGCGAGAACTGTTGAGAAAATACCATCAACAAAAATGCTATGTCTCAGA